TATATATATATATATATATATATATATTGTGTATAATTACTAGCAGAAAAGTACAAAGTATTGAATGTCAGTCTCGTGAATCTCTCTTAGGCCCCATTCAAGATATGATATGGTAATATTGTAGGGTTTGCAGGCTGGCCACCCACAGTTCTTTAGCCTAATAGGTAATATGGCTACATTTTATTTTATTTTATTTTATTTTTATCCACTCTTAGAAGAAGACAGTTAGTCCTTTCAATTATTCTAAATGAAAAACTTTTATAGCCACGTAAATAAGAGGATAATTCTGTGTACAAAGTATATTATATTCACACAAGGTACGGAAAAGGGGCCGCACCCCTAAATGTTTCTATTGTTTGAATCTTAGGTTACGGAAACAACTTTACCATTGCATTAAAGTTCACCTTCAAATACTAGGAAATATTTAGAACCGCAAATTTCGAAGCCTTATAACTACAAGAAGATTGTAACATGCTTAGGGTCTGTTTGGCTATAAAAATATTTACTTTTTTTGAAAATCAATGTATGACCATGAAATTTTTAAATTTCACTTAGAAGTTAGATTTTGGAATTTTCGAAATTTGAAATACTACAAAGAACCGTTTTTCAAAATTTTCACTTCAAATCACTCGCAAAATAAAAAAATATCTCCAAATTGTATTCATGTCCAAACACAACTTTAATTTCCAAATACCATTTTAATTTTTTTAAAAAAATTCACTTTTTTCCAAAACTTTACAATTCTTATGTCCAAACGTCCACTTGTTACAAGTTTGAAAAAACTTATTTTTATTTTATATTACTCCCTTCGTTCACTTTTACTTTCCAGAAAAATAAATTTTTACTTTAGTTGTCACTTTTAGCATATCAAAAGAAGATAATTTTTTTCCTTATTATACGTACAGTATTAATTACTCATTTCAAATTATTTTTTCAAATCCACCAAAAATATGTATCAATTAATATGAGTATCATAGTAAATTATATACTTTATTTATTATTTTTATGGAATGTGTAAAGTCTGTAGTGGACAAGTAAAAGTAAACGGACCGAATATCAAATATACATTTTGACTCTTGACCTGTACGGCTATGGGATTCAACTCAACAGTGGGGTAGAATCTCTCTACACCACAACTCTATACACTATTAAATCTCATTGTAAACTGTGCCCCAGTGGGTGGTGGCTCAGAGACTGTCCTTTAGCTAAATTTACTGTAAAATTTTTGTTATGTTGCTTTCATCGTCAGCAAGGAAACTGTTAACCCGTTTAGTCAAGCTGCAAAAATAAGCTTATTTTGAGAAGTATTTTTTTACAAAAAATATTTTTCTCAAAAGTACTTTTGATGAGGAGCAGTAAGTGTTTGACTAATTAATTTGAAAAGCACTTCTGAGCAGTAATTAGTGTTTGGCCAAGCTTTAAAAAACGGCTTCTAAGTGTATTTTTCTCAAAAATACTTTTCAAAAAAGTGCTTTCGGAGAGAAGTTGATTCTTCAAAACTGCTTCTGATTCTTCTCAAAGCACTGTTTTTCCTTCCAAAAGCTTGGTCAAACACCTCAATTTTTGGCCAAAAATACTTTTGGCAAAAAAAAAAAAATGTTTGGCCAAACATGCTATGAATTTTGATTAGGAGTATTAGTACTATTTTCTAATAAAGGAATTCATTAAATATTTTTTTAGTTTCTCACTATTTGATATTCATAGCAAGAGTACAAACTAATTCAGATTCGTGCCCATAAAACTAATTAAAGAGGGTTCGAAGGATCCTATTTATCTTACCATAATTTTTGGTGATGTATTAGCTTATTCTTGTCTCTTGATTCTTATGTTCAAAAGAGTAATTTTTTCGACCCCTCTAAAGATTAGTTAAATTTAGTAACAATTATTCGATATTTATAGCGGTGACAAATAAAGTATCACTCTGTCTTGATTTATGTAACGGCTATGAGATTTCGAGAGTCCAACTTATTATACTTTAACCATATTTTTTTGGTATGCATTTTAAATATTTAGAATTATTAATCATAGTGACAATTTCCAAATATATAAATATATTTAAAATTTATTCAACTACACTATCAAAATTAAAAAGTTTGAACAATTTTCCAATTAATAAATAAATTATTTATTTTTATTAATAAATTGCATGAACTTATTTTTTTTTGCTCTTTTGAGCCGAGGGTCTCCTGGAAACAGCCTCTCTGCCTCTCGGGGTAGGGGTAAGGTCTGCGTACATATTACCCTCCCCAGACCCTACTTGTGAGATTACACTGTATTATTGTTGTTGTTGTAATAAATTACATGAACTTAGATCAATCAACTAATGATATTTCTATACATATGAGATTATTTGACCTAATCAAGTTGTCCATTTAGATTTATCTAGGTGGAATAATAAGAAAGAGTAAGGTTCAAAAAAATTTCGTTTAGAAAGGATCGTCTAGGAGTCGGAGATATCTGTAATTGAATAACTATAAGCCAGAATCTCGAAAAGTAAAAAGTGAAACAGGAGAATTAATATTCAAAAAATATAGGTGAATGAGCATAGTTAAATTATTTACCTCATCTTTCTTCTCTTCTTTGGGTGGCTCCTCTTTGTTTTCATCTTTTTTATCTTCAGTTGGCTTAGGCAAAGGTGAAATTAGTTCCACTTTTCTACCACTTTTCTTTTTAACTCTTTCGAATACTTTGAGAGGATCTGCATTTTTACCTTTCACCACCACTTTACTCGCCTTACAATCCGCCGTTACTTCCTCCACTCCTGTTTATTTACCATTTAAAATAAAATAAAATATTATCAAGTCTCTCCTCTAAAAGTCATGCCTTTTTAGCATATGAATACAAAAAGAAAATAATACTATAATTTTACAATAAAGTTGATGTCTTGGTCTATATTATAAGCTTTATTTAATTTAATTATTATCTTGAATGTTGAAGAATTAATTAATGAATTGTTGAATTGAACAACGTGATAATGAGATAGGAGATTGAATAAATTTATGAACCCTCAAATATTATATTCTAGAAGCAGAAAAACTATACAGGTCATTAACAAAAAAAAAAGAAGAAAGGATTTAAACTACATATCCACTAAAGAAATTTTATATTGTTAATGCAATGTAACATGTTATATAAGCGTTATATAAGACAGTTTAATTTTCGTTATTTATAATATATGTTCTCTATAACAGTACTTCACGATAGCAACCAAAAAATATCGTAATAAACAAAGTTATTATAGAAAGATTTAACTGTATTATTCAGATTACTAATTCACATATAATGAGCAATTATCTGTTATTGCCTTTTAAATAACAATATACATAAATCTTATATTATCAGCAAAAGTAAAATGGTCAAAAATTATTTTAATGCATTCGAATTGATCAATTTTGTCTTTATTCTAATCTTAGTAGCCGTTAGGATAAATTCTCATAATTTTAGAAAATTGAATAGAAGATTTAACCTAAATAACCGTTCACTCAATCACTTAAATTAAAAATAGTCGGCGGATAATTCATATTTCCTCGGTTTCAATTTATGTGAATCTATTTGACTGGGAAGGAGTTTAAGAAAACATAGAAGACTTTTGAACTTGTGGTTTAAAATAACGCACATATATTTTATGTGGCTATAAATCATTGCTAGAGGTAAAAAAATTCCAAATATAAAAGGGGACATTTTTTTTGTACGGTAAAAGTAAATAGGTTCACATAAATTAAAACAAATGGAGTACATATAATATGTTTATATGTATATAATTAGTGTATAATGTACATATATTAACTAAAAAGACAGTAAATATAACCGACTATTTATGTAAAGACCCCGGCAAATTAATACCTTGGAAACCTTTGAGGGATCTAGCAACTTTTCTGGCACAAGCTTCACAATGCATATCAACTTTGAGCACAATCTCTTGAGGAACCTCATCTTCTTTCTTTTCCTCTACCTTCTTTTCTTCTTCTTTCTTCTCCTCCTTCTTTTCCTCCCCTTTGTTCTCCTTTTCATTTCAAAATTCAAATCATGCAAAAATAAATTAAAAAAATACACACATTCTAGATTAAAACACAAATTTCTAAAATTTAATTATCTATTATTCATAATTCAGCGCCTACTTAGATTCGCGCTGTGTAGAGTCTATTTAAAGGGACATGTTCCTATAAGAAAAAATTCATTTTCAAGATTCAAAAAATAATAGAAGCTCCCGCTAAGCTGTCGGTACACTAAGCTTCTGCTATACGCAGGATTCATAGAAGTGCCAGACCACAAGAGTCTATTATAGATAATCTTATCCTGTATTTCTGCAAAATGTTATTTCCGCGGCTAGACGGATTTCCTCAATCCCACAACATGGTAATTATAAACCCTCAATGTAAGAGAGAAGAACTCTTTACTTTCTATGTTCTACACCAAAAAATTATTAAAAAAAAGCAAAACAAAACTAGATTGATTTATAGAATATGAAATGAGTTTAAGTGTGTTGAACATACCTCACCCATGTAGTCAAAAGCTCCTAAAATTAATGACAAAAGAAAATGAAAAGCTATTCCTTTTTGCCTTCGTTAAAACCTCTCTAACTCCCTCTTTAGAAATATATATTTGTGTTATTTCTGTGTAAATAAGAAGGGGAAGAGGCACATTTATTTAAATAGAAGAGGAAGAAGAAGAGGTGACAGTAGTGTAAATAAAATCTGACATAGAATTGTTTAAATTGCAGATATACACAGATAGTGGTCCTGTTGCTGACTCAGCTTCTTATAATTTGTGTTTCACATTTACTACAAGTTATTTAAATACTGTTCATTTTAAGACCATGTTTTACGTGTTTTATTCCTTTTTATTTTTGACTGGATATAGAAACTATTACTGCTGTTTTTGAAAATTGAACGTTGTTGTTTGAATTGACATAATCTATGGAAAAGAGAATTAAATTTTGTACTTCTTTTAGTTTGATTTCTCTTTTTTTATTTTAAAATAATGAAGTTCTAGATATCTAAAACAGGTTAAAATTACGCGGTATATATAACAAATAACACCTAGCTAGTAAGGGGTTGTTTGGTTTGAAAACAAATAATGCTGAAATTAGTTATGTTAGGATTAGTTATACTGGAATTAGTTATGCTGAGATTAATTATCATGTATTATTTTTTTATTGATTGTTTGATATGTTATATTTATCCTGAGATTGTCAATTTTACTGCTTTATCCTGACATAACTCATCCTGGAATTACTATACCGCACACCAGCTGAAAAAACACTACAAAAAATTGGAATTAGCTACGAACATCATCGTTAAACTATCGCTACATCACTCCTAGCTGACATAATTTCTTGATAATTTATATCTAAATAGTTAGCTATAAAATTTATTCGTCACTAATTTTTATTTTTTCAGTAGTGAAAAAAAAACACGTTTTAAAAATAACCTTTGCAAATGATATCGTTCCTCCACAATGCAAGGAAGTATACCTAAGAAGACAAACTTGATGGGGGAAAAAAGATAAGATGAAAAGTGTAAGGAAATTTGTTTGGCATTCAAGTTGGAAGTGGTTTCCTCTCCTTTTCAAATATCATGTGTCAAGATTATACGTATGCTTTCTCTCTCGCTTCTCCATCCAATTTAACAAGATTCCCACCGAAAAAAAAAGCTTATCAAAACATAAAGTTAAGGACTAGGGCATGACTTCTCTCGCGACGCATGTTGCTAATGTGCGTCAGCCATGGGCAAAAGTGCTCGTGTACCATCCCAGAAGGCTCTAATGGCATTGATGAACCAACCTACAAACTCAAGAGGATTGAATCAAGCTAAGAAAGGATAAGTACCAGCAGAAAATAGTGAAGAAGGAAGCAAAAGCCAGACCCAAAATGTGATAGAAACACCAGAAGTTGAAATCAATGAAATAGTATCCCAAGCTACAGTAATCAATGCAACAGTGAATGTTAATGAGAAATCATGGACTAATATGGGCAAAGGAGCAAGCAATAGCCGAAGACTATCTTGGGCTGGTGAAGTCGAAGAAATGGAGGAATTGAAGAAGAAAAGACCAATTTGGGACAATTTCAACATAGGGAAAATCTTAAATACATGTTTCAAGCTGGATTATGTCTCGCCAAAGAAGCTAGGTGAGTCTACAATATGTGAAATTAAAACAGATGACATTAGCTCGGAGATTAACTATTGGAAAAATGTAGTAGTATGTTATGTATTGGGGGAACATCCCCCTTTCTCTGTGCTAAATGGTTATATTCAACGTTTATGGGCAAAATATGGGATTAACAAAATTTCTGTGCTAAAAAATGATATAGTGATAGTTCGATTTGATACGGAAATTAGGAAGAATGAAGTCATTCAATGTGGAATCTACCACTTTAATAGCAAATAATTCATATTGAAGGCTTGGTCACCAGATATGAATTTTACAAGAAAGGAGTTACTTACAGTGTCCATTTGGGTGAAGATGTCAGGGTTGGATTTTAAGTATTGGATCCTTAAAGGGCTAAGCAAGATAGGTAGCCTGATTGGAAGGCCTATAATGGTAGATAAAAACACGGAGAAGAAGACTGGTTTGAACTTTGCCAGACTTCGCGCTCACTAGGGTGTTCAGACTCCGGAGGGGCTCCTACAGTCCAAGCGCTATCACAAGCCATTTTATGGCATAATAATTCAGGCCCCCGGCCTCTCATATATCACAAATCAGTACACATGTTGCGGCGCATAGCCCGATCCTATGATATCCTCACAATACAAGCCCTCGGCCTCACTCAGTCGAAAATCTCTCAACCCCCTCGGGCAACAGTAAAACATGATGCTCAGCCCAAAAATAACATTTAAAATATCAAAAACGAAGTAAATATGGCTGAGTTATGAAAACAGTAGAATACAACATGACTGAGTACAATTATGAAGTCAACACAGTCATACGAAGGTCCAAATATGACATTCAGTCCAAAACATGATAATACTTTCCAAAACACAATGATATCAAGCAGTTTTAAATCAAATACGCAACTTAACAGTCATACGGGATAGACTAAGTCACGATCCCCAACGATGCACGACCCCACGTTCGTCATCTAGCGTGTGTGTCACCCCAAAGTAGCACAACGATGTGAAATCCAGGGTTTCATACCCTCAGGACAACATTTACAATCATTACTTACCTCGATCCGGTCCAAACTCTAGCTCACGATGCCTTTGCCTCTTGACTCGGCCTTTGGATGCTCCAAATCTAATCAAAAACATATTTATAACATCAAAATATGCTAAGGGAACAAAGCCCACTCTAAAATAACCAATTTACATCGAAAAACTCAAAATTGGCCAAACCCGACCCCCGAGCTCACGTCTCGAATTCCGATAAAAATCACAAAACTAGAATCTTTACACTCTCACAAGTTCATACATACCAAATACATCAAAATCCGACCACAAACAACCCCTCAAATCCTTAAATCAAGGTATCCAATACCAAGCCCTAATCCTCCAATTTTAACCCTTAATTTCAATTAATTTCAAGCCTAATCAGTGAAACAAGCCCATATAAATATGTTTTAGTTCCAAAAATCTTACCTCCACAAAGTTCCCTTGAATTCCCTCTGCAAAATCTCCCAAAATGCTTCAATCCTGGATAAAAATGGTGCAAAACAACTCAAAATTCGCGAAGGGCGACTTATATACTTTCAGATCGAGGGATTCCGCACCTGCGACCCTTTTCACGCTTTTGCGCTAGTGCTTCTACGGTCAATCAACCGCTTCTGCGGTTTTCACTTTAGTCCCTTAGGGTCGCATCTGCGTCCAGGAACCGCACTTGCGATCCCGCAGATGCGCCCAATGCACTGCATCTGTGGTCAAGCTCCAACTTGCCAAACTCCACTTCTGCGGCGTCTATCACGATCCAACTTAGGATCATGACCGGCGCTTAGGAGCAAGTGCCCCTAAGTAAGCCTCATTGATATTTTACAGAAAAACGGACAGAGTTTTTCCTATTTTTGGACTATCCAAAAAAAAAAAATCTTGTCGCAAAAATCAACAACTAACATCCTAATATCAACAACCAACAATAAATTTATCCATTAACCAAAAAAGTCTCAACCATTATAATACACACACTAACAACCACAAATACTAATTTATCTCCAAATTCGATAAGGAAATGCAATACTCATCATAAGTCTATAATAATGAAAGAATACTCATGACACTAAAAGAATGACTATGGAGCGACTCTATGAGTTAAACAGAAAAGACGATAACAAAGAAATAAACTCTTCGCCCACGCGAATAAGTGCGGGGCTCACCAAAAACTATCAACTCGTATACTCTAATTAACGAAATCCTCGCTCGCGTCAACTGCTGTTTCTGTAAAAAAAAAAATAGCGGGGAGTGAGTCGCTAGCTCTGAGTAATAATATTTAACCACAACTATTTTTAATTGGGGACATGTCAGAAATCATGCTTGTATAATAATCACAAAATAAAATGCCCTTTTTAAAACGGTAATAATAATTAGTCCCATCATGTGTTTCCTGCAACAAAATCAATTTAACAATTCAATAATAAACTCTGTAAATACTGTGTCATATCAAATCTTTATATTTGGGAGGTTTCCAAGGAAGGATCATGTAATCTGTATCACTGTAAGGACCCCTTCGTAAAAGGAGTCAAATATAACTGTATGTCCATACTCGAGGGAAAACTGTAACTGTATGCTAGTTTTATCTTCACACTAGCGAGGGCTATAACTATAATCGGTAATCTGTAAATACAAGGTGCACCAGATCTAACGAACTTGCCGTTAGCTACGGAATCCTTCAAAGTCTACTCCCATTCATATTTTTCTTTGTAAACAGTAAATCTTCACATGGAAGAATTTTCAAAACAGTACATAGCATTTAAATTTTTATCAAATCATGTAATCCAATTTCGGTAACGGTAATCATATCTCTAGTAATAGTAAAACATGTCTAGTAACAGAGAACATTTTAAATAACTGTAAACATCTCAAGTAAACTATTCAGTACCATATCAAGTAAGAGACTTGTCCCACATGCAATTTCAAACATTCGGTAACATATTTTATTTTTAAAATAACGTATAAACCATGCAGGTTATGAAAACATAAATTGCGGTAAGATTACTACTCACAGTACTTGCGCCAAAATAACAAGCACGCCAGCTCGAGCACTCGTTCAACTCTTCAACTACCTATAATGTTACAAAATCAATCTTACATCAACTAGGTGAATTTCCAACATAATTGGTCCATTTCTATCACATTTAATCAATTCTCCGATATCCATTCCTCTGAAATATGACCCTTAATTCTCTCTTAATTAATTTAGTATCACTTAATTGGCTAGGAGTTGCATCTTGTTTTTTTAAAATATATTCTTATTATTTGATTGATACTAGTATATATAGAGGACAAGAAGAATTTCTTTTGTTTGACACAAAAACGGTACTCATATCCTTATGTAGCAGTTTACAAGCACTACTAACTTGCATAGTAAAGTGCTCAGTATAAACTGATAGGTTCTTTGTTCAATCTAATAGGAATTCCATGATTGTCCTATATTGAAACACCTTAAGAATCCTTTGTTATCTTTACCCTAAATTACAAATCAATAACTAATAATAGGCTAGGTATTGAATAAAGGAAATATTAGATAAATTAC